AGGCAAAATCGTCTACATCCGATCAGCTTCCGCATACGGCTGGCATTACTCACGTTTTGGCTTCTGACAGCTCCAATATGGGCTCCAGAGCCCTCCTAGGAGGTGCAAGACCGCCAAAGGCCGAAGACAGCCCCAAGATGACCCCAAGGGCCCCCAGGTGGCCTCCAAGGCGGCCCCAAGACAGCTCCTCCAATACGCTCCAAGACCGTCAATACCCGCCCAGTCGAAGCTCCATAAATGTCGTGCTGAAACCCCCTCCGGCCTGAGGGCCGCAGCCCCTGACCCAGACCGCGAGGGAAACAATCCTCTGATGGACGCTCCTGGCCGCCTTCGCGGCCCAGTGCAAGAAGGCTGCGACGCTCCAGGCGGCCCCCAAGACCTCCCGAAACGGCACCCAAGACCACCCCGAGGGACGCCAAGATGGCCAAGAGAGGCCCCAAGGCTAGACCCGAGAGGGCTCCGAGAAGGCCACGGCCCCGAGAGGGGCCCACGTGGTCGGCCACATGTGGCGGGTTATCGAGAGGGCCCCGCCTTCGAGGATCGAAGGAGCTGGCCTCTCTTCGTCGGCCGAAGGCGGCCGAAGCTGGCGGCAGCAAAACGAGGGCGCCTGCGCCGGCAGAGGCCGGCGGCAGGAAAACCGGCCTCCCACGGGAAAGACCGGCCTTTCTTTCGCGTAAGGTTTCCAGTATCCGCCATGCGCGTCGAGGCCGTGCCCCCGAGCATCCACTGGCTGAGACACCGGCGTGCCAGTCTCCACATTCGGGGGGACGACAGGGTTGGGTTGGGCATGTCCCCCCACAGTCGGATTTTGGACGACAAATAAAAATATTCAAAACAAAATGGAACACAAAAAAACAGTACACATGTGAAGACCATTATGAGAACAAACATAATAATAAGAATGGTACTACTACTGCTGCTAATAATAACAATAATACTGGTAATAACGATAATGATAGCAGTAATCTTAATACGATCAGTAATGATAATAATAATGATAACAACACCAACAACAAAAACAATCGTACTGCTTACTAAAGGTAGTAGTGATAGTGATAGTAATACTAACAGTAATAAGAATGATAATAATAAGAATAAGAAGAAGAATCAGAAGAAGAACGATGATACTGATACTAAGAATACAAATGCTAATAATGATAATAATGATGGTGATGATATGAACGAAAATAATATGAAGAATAGTGATGCTATTTATTTGTTTAATGTTTTAATCCGTCGATCCGGCGTGTGAGTTTGAAAAAGTCTCAGTTACAGCCTACAGCCTAGAGCCTGAGCTTCAGCTCTGCTGGGGGGGGGGCCGAGGGGGGCTCTGCCAGGGAAGGGGGGAGAGGGAGGGGGGGGTACGAGTTCTGGTCCGCTTTCCGGGGAAGGCTTTTCCGGGCCCACGAGGGCCCCAAGACGGGCCAAGAGGGCCCCAAGATCCTGCAAGACGGCCCCAGAAGCCCCCAAGACGCCCAAAGAGCGCTCCAAGACGCCGAAGATGACCTCCAGACGGCCCAAAAGGCCGCCGAGACGCTCCAAGAAGCCTCCAAGAGCCCTCAGAAGAGGACGCTTAGAGGCCAAAATCATCAACTTCACCATGGTTTTGGAAGAATTCTGGCCTTTTCGGCTTCCCGACGCTCCAAGACGGCCCCAGAGGCCCCCAAGATCGCCCCAAGACGGCCCAAGAGGCTCCCGAAATGGCCCCAAGACGGCCCAAGAGAGCCCCAAGACTGCCCAAGAAACCGCCAAGACGGCCCCAAAGGCTCTCAAGACGGCTCCAAGAGGGGAGCCAGACGGGGAACCCGAACGGAAATTTCGAGCCCTCGGCCTCCAGAAGCCCCCAAGAGGCCCCAAGAGGCCCCCAAAAGGCCCCCAAATGTCGGTCGTCGGTTTTCGTCGTAATGATCCCACTCGTCGACCGTTGGTCGTCCGTTGTCGTCGTCATCGCCCATCCCAACAATAGCATCAACAAAGCGCCCCGGATCGGCGGCACTGGCCAGAGGCCACTTCGATACATTTCAAACCAAAACAAGTCACCATACAATGTTTACAGTTTTTTTTTTGTTATTTTTTTTTTTTTTTTTTTTTTTTATAAAAAAAAAAAAAAAAAAAAAAAAAAAAAAAAAAAAAAAAAAAAAAAAAAAAAAAAAAAGTCACCCAAAAAGTCACCAAAAGAAGTCACAAAAAAGTCACCCAAAAAAGTCACCATACTATTTCTGATTACTTTTCAATATTCCTCCTGCAATAGGGACAGGCCCGACTTGACGACAGGGCAGGATAACAAAGGGTAGGGTAAGGAATCGGCTCGCGTGGCTGGCTTCCCCGGCGCCTCCTGGCGCTGGGAGGCAGCGGCGGGGCCAAAACCAGGAGGAGGAGGAGGAGGAGGAGGAGGAGGAGGCGGAGGGGGAGGAGGAGGAGGAGGAGGAGGAGGAGGAGGAGGAGGACGAAGAGGAGGAGGAGGAGGAGCAGGAGGAGGAGCAGGAGCAGGAGGACGAGCAGGAGAAGGAGGAGGAGCAGGAGGAGGACGAGGAGGAGGAGGAGGAGGAGGAGGAGGAGGAGGAGGAGGACCTCCCCATCCTCCCTTCTCCCCCGTCCTACCTATGGTAGTAGTGGTGGAAATGTCCAATCAGAGACTGCAGATGGAAAAACACGATGGGACCCAGACAAGCAGTGTTGGAGGCCAGCACCACGATCGGAGAGACCTAAGACTCGGGTTCGGGGGTCTCGGATTGGCCCGACGGGGCCGTCAGGAAAATGACGAGGCCCAGTCTGAAACTTGACGCGAGCTCCCGCTGCGGACATCCTTCGAGCACCAGGCAATCATAATTCAGGACGGGCCCATCAAAAAGCGTCGACAAACCCGAGTTCCGGCGAACTAGAGTCTTACGTGTCCCCGACATGAAGCCCAAGCTGGAAACAGAGCGCACTCTTACAAATGACGCGCCTCGGCAGCATGGGAGCGATGCCTGCGGCAGCGTCATCCAAGCGGAAGTTGAAGCTGCAGTGTGTCCTGAAGGCGTACATGTACAGCCTGGTGGTGGATGGGAAGAGGGGCAGAATGGACGGACGCTGAAGCTGCAGCAAGCCCTGAATACACACATGCAAAGCACGGTTGCCCTTTACCAAGTCTGGAAGACCACATCTGGACAGACCCTTCTGAGCCGTATCGACGTGTTTTCTACCCCTCCTCCTCCTCCTCATCCTTCTCCTCCTCCTCCTCCTCCTCCTCCTCCTTCTCCTCCTCCTCCTCCTCCTCCTCCTGCTCCTCCTCCTCCTGCTCCTCATCCTCCTCCTCCTCCGCCTCCGCCTCCTCCTCCTGCTCCTCATCACCACCATCATCATCCTCCTCCTCCTCCTCCTCCTCCTCCTCCTCCTCTTCCTCCTGCTTCTCCTTATCCTGCATCCTCCTCTTCCTTCCTCCTCGCCCTCTCATCCCTTTTGCCGTCAGCGGTCGTCGATCTGCCAGGACCGTCGAGCCTGATCACCTCCTCATTCCCCTCCTCCCCTCGCACCGTGTGGGCGCGTATGCAGGCTCGTGACGTGTGCGGAGCGCGGGCTGTAGAGCAGCCCGGTTGTGGGGATGGGAGTCGCCAATGTGCTTCCCAGCCCCCCCAGCAAGGCTCAACACACTGAGCCATTCGGAGTTCTCGACCGATCGCCCGCCCGACCTCGTCCGCTCCCCCCCCCCCTTCTCCCCCTCCCCCATCCCCCTCCTCACCTCCCCCCTCTCCCATCCCCCTCCTCACCTTCCCCTCTCCTCCTCACCATTCCCCTCCTCACCTTCACCCTCCGACCTCCTTCCACTCCTCCCCCTCCTCCCCCTCTTCCATCCCCCTCCTCACCTCCCCCCTCCCGAAGAAAACAAAAGAACGCCATCAACATAAATTGTTGGCACCCGCGCAGATCTCTTGGATCTCCTCCCCCCCTCCCAAGGAGCTGTGCCTGGGGCCCTTGCCTGCTCCGAGCGCCGCGAGGCCCGGGGAGGCTGGCGCGCGCGCCCCCGGGCAGACCGCCCTCCGACGGACCCCCCCCCCTCCTCCTCCTCCTCCTCCTCCTCCTCCTCCTCCTCCTCTTACCTCCCTCCTCCCCTCCTCTCCTCCTCCTCCTCCTCCTTCCTCCTCCCCCTCCTCCTCTTCCTCCTCCTCCTCTCCTACTCCTCCTCCTCCTCCTCCTCCCTCCTCCTCCTCCGCCTCCTCCTCCTCCTCCTACTAAAACTCCTCCCTCCCTCCCCTCCTACGCCCTCTCCTCCTCCTCCTCCTCCTCCTCCTCCTACTCCTCCTCCTCCTCCTCCTCCTCCGCCTCCTCCTCCTCCTCCTCCTCTCCTCCTCCTCCTCCTCCTCCTCTCCTCCTCCTCCTCCTCCTCCTCCTCCTCCTCCTCCTCCTCCCTCCTCCTCCTCCTCCTCCTCCTCCTCCTCCTCCTCCTCCTCCTCCTCCCTCCTCCTCCTCCGCCTCCTCCCCCTCCACAATTACTCACCTGATGACGGCCAGGGACTTCCCCTGATGACGGTTGGGAGTGTTCGCCCCCCCCCCCCCGCGTACTGTTTTTTACACACAGGTTTCGCCGGAGTCGGGTTTTCGCCTGCATTTTTTTTCATAATGCTGCTCTCGCTGGGGCGCCGGCCCCATTGTCGGGCCCCGCTCGTTCCGAATCGTGCTCCCGCTGCAGCGCTGGCCTCATTTCCGCGCTTCCGCTCGTTCCGAATCGTGCTCCCGCTGCAGCGCTGGCGTCATTTCCCGTGCCATGCCACGGCATGCAATGCAATGCTAGGTTGCGTTCCGCTGCGCGATGCCATGCCTTCAGCTGAAGCTGTGATATGCAGTGCTTAAGTGCCACGTCGTGCTATGCCATGCTACGCTTTGATCTTCAACGCCATGCTATGCAATGTTATGTTCGGGGCCGCTGTGCGATGCCATGCTTTGCGTTGCAAAGCTTTGTGATGCAATTCTTCACTACGCCACGCCACGCCATGCTGTGACATACTACGCTTTGCGGTGCTCTTCTACGCCATGCCATGCCGTGCTCTACAATGCATCGCGTACCCTTTCGGGATCATTGCCCTGCTCGACATCCGACTGTGCGAGTAGAGAGGGGATCTACGCCATGGTAAGGGATGGGAGGGAGGGGTAGGATGTCAGATATGACGCGAGCGCACCTAGATTGTCCCCTCCCCCTCCCCCTCCCCCTCCCCTCCCTCCCCTCCTCCTCCTCCTCCTCCTCCTCCTCCTCCTCCTCCTCCTCCCCTCCTCATCATCCCACCACCACCACCATCATCATCCTCATCATCATCATCATCATCATATCATCAACCACCCATCATCATCATCATCATCATCATCCCCCTTCCCCTCCCTCCTCTCCTCTCCTCCTCCTCCTCCTCCTCCTACCTCCTCCTTCCTCCTCCTCCTCCTCCTCCTCCTCCTCCTCCCCCCCCCTTGGCTCCCGTGCGCACGGGCGGCCGGCTGCACGCCGCTCGCGCCTGGGTGTGCCCACCACCGGGGGACGGGGCACTGCACCGACCCTTGCAGAAGCGCTGCAGCGGATGTCTGCGTGCATGGCTGCCTGTGCTTGTGGATGCCATGACTTTGGACGCCCGAAATTGGGCGAGCAACGACATATGTACATGTACGCCCTCCACGGTCTTGCCTGCACGAACGTCCGCGATGACACGCACTCCAGGGGAAGCTAACCGCGTACGTGTACATATGTTGCTGGCCTCTGAGAAATGGGCACGGAAAGAATGGGCACAATGCCAAACAACAGATGTTGTCCCAAACCAGCAGCGGCCGCTGTTGGGCAGGCGGCCTTCTGACTCGAATGCACACAGCGAGTCCTGTCCAAAATGAACAGGAACTGCTGTTGGGCATTGTACCCATTCTTTCCGTACCCATTTCGGGCGTCCAGAATGACAGACATGGCATCCACACACACACACACACAAACAGACAAACGCGTGCGCATCCTATCGTGGAATCACCACCATGGAGCCCCGGACCCCATCTCTCTGCGTCTGCGTCCTTTTTTTCGAGCGAGCCGGCTTGAGCTGCGAGGGCCAACCCGGGGCACGAAGGGGAGCGACAAAACCGCCCGGCGTGAAAAAAAATTCAACGACGCCAGGATCCGAGGCCCCCGACGACATGATTATGGATGCCATAACAATGGACACTCTAACAATCCGATCATTGAATGAAAGATGTGCTTAGAATGTCGCTCCCAAGAAGCCCCCAAGAGGCCTCCAAGACAGCCCCAAGAGGCCCCGAATAGCGCTCCAGGGCCGGCGGAATGAGCGAAGCGATCAAATTAAAGATGTGATTAAGATGTGTGAAACATGTTCTCAAAGCGTTTCAAACATGTTTTACATATTTTAAACATGTTTGCAACATGTTTTAGACCTCTGTATACTATTTGGCTGCATGCTTCCTCTCCATGAATCGACTTCCACAGATCTATGTCAAACCCCGACACGGCGCGAGCGGAAAACGAAGTGGATTTCACATGGATGGTGTCTCCTCCGCACGAAATCCACTCACTTCGAAATCCGGAGCAAAATTCTCCCGGACTATCTGGGCCCATCCCATAGTTTTCCGAACGAACTCCGCTCTGCTGGCGCCATGAGATCGGGTCGGACGGAAAGGGGGGCCAGGCAGGACATCTTGCAAACGCGATGCATGGACGTCTGTTGCGGGCTTCTCGTTGCTGACCGTCGGTGTCCGTGCGTAGCATACTCGCATGGATACTCGCATGAATTCTCGCATGGATTCGGGCCGGATTCCACATGGATTGTTCCCCCTTTCCAGTGCCCGGATTCCATGAGATGTTATATTGCTTGGCAGAGGGAAAACCATACATAATCCACACAGGAATTCATACCAGCTGCGCGAAATCCATGCGCAAATCCGCGCCCCGAATGGACAAATCCATACAGAACCCATTCAGAATCCATACTGCGTAATGCCCTACCTGAGGCTAGGAGAGGCGGGTTAGCGAATCAGTTCACGCAGCTGATGCTCTAGGCGCCGAAGGCGCCAGTGTATCGAGGACAGCGCCCAGCGACGGAGGCGAAGCCAGCGGCACGCAGCAGATGTCGCACCCACCCCTTTCCCAATCTTCCCCTGCCGTCCGACCCGAGAGGGGTGACCGGAGAGGGGAAGGAGGATGGGACGGAGGAGTGGGCCACCGTGGCAAGGGGAGGAGCAAGAGGAGGAGGAGGATAGGGATGGTGAGGGGTTGGGGGATGACCACTGCAAACCCCACCAGCGTCGCTGATGCTGCTACGCACCCGCACCCACGGGAAGAAGGAGGTTGGTCGGACTCGACGTTGCAGCAGTCTGCGCGCCGTCATGCCGAGAGCTTGTTCGGCCGCCACCCTCCCCAGCCAAGGGAGCCCCAGCACTGAGCCCAGGCGGCCCGACGCACAGAACCGAGAGGGCGGCGGACGGCGCGAAGCGCTAGCAACGACAGCGAGGAAGACGAAGGGAAAACTAAAGAAATCATGGAGGAAGAAGGAAGGAGGAAGGAGGAAGGAGGAAGGAGGAAGGAGGAAGGAGGGAGGAGGAGGAGGAGGAGGAGCAGGAGGAGGAGGAGGAGAAGGAGGAGGAGGAGCAGGAGGAGGAGGAGGAAGAGCAGAGGAGGAGGAGAGGAAGAGCAAGACCAGGAGAAGGAGGAGGAAGGGGAGGAGGAGGAGGAGGAGGAGGAAGAGGAGAGGAGGAGGGAGGGAGGATGGTTGGCAACCAGCAAAAGGAGTCCAGCTCCGGCTCGCGCGGCCCTCTCCTCCCCGAGGGCCGGCACGGCACGCGGGCGGCCGCGGGGGCAGAGAGCGGCTGCGGTCGGCCGCGCGCCGGCACGAGGGAGGCCCCGACTCTGCCCACAGCTCCCGCCGCCGATGCTGCTGGAGGGCGGAGAGGGAGGGCGAAGAGAGGAAAGAGGAGTTAGAGGTTGTTGTTTTTATTAATGAAAAATCTTTGTGTCTATATATATATATATATATATATATATATATATTAACAAGCAAAAAAGGAAAGAGGAGTTAGAGGTGCAGGGAAGGAGGGAGCAGGGAGGAGCAGCACTGTAAGAGGAGGGTGGAGGAAGGAGCAGGAGGAGGAGAAAGAGAATGAAGACGGGGGGGGGAGGGAAGAGATGTGTTCATGCTCATGCACATGAACGCAAGCATGTCTGGACATCTCCTCCTGTTGCCCGCCTGGGGTGGGTTCAGAGCACCCCGAACACAACTACTCGAACTGTATCGGGACTCCGCTACCGCCCCAGCGCCACGCCCCATTTCGCGCGAGTGCCACTTTCATTGGCGCGCAGCGGCGTGCTTGCCCCAGACACGGCCATAGCCGACTGCATGGAATCCGACCACGCGACAAGCAGAAATCGCCAAGGCAATCCCACGCAAAAGGTCGTAGCCCCAGTCGTGTCGTTAGGGCGGGCTGGGCGTTTCGCCAGAGACTTCCTCACCGCTTCAGATCAGCAACGATGGAATGTGCAACAAATTCAAGGGTGGAGAGCGAGAGGTGTTCAAAATGTGGCTCTCGCCGTAGCGCTGCGTACGTTCATCTGAAAAGTCTCAAACGCTTCAAGATAGAGGGACAGTGATTTTCAAAATGGGCCTGTCGCTTGAGAGCCGCGCAAATTCGTCTTACACGTTGCACAAGCTTCAAAAATGGAGGGGGATCGCTTTCAAGACGTGGTTCTCGCATGAGCGCCGCGCACATTCGTCCTCAAACTGCAACAGTTTCAGGGATGGACGGACGGGTCGTATTCGAAATGTGGCTCTCGCCGTAGCGCCGCGCACAGCCATCTCTAGAAATGTGGCTCGCGCGTTTTCGCCGCGCACAGTCACCCCAAGGTTTGCGACAGCTTGAAGGATGGAGGCGAGTCGTTTTCAAAATGTTGCTCTCGCCGTAGCTACGCGCATATTCGTCTTACAAGTTCGCAAATGCTTCAAGTATGGAAGGGGGGTCATTTTGAAGATGTGCATCTCGCGTGAGCGCCGCGACCGTTCATCCTAAGCCATTGCGATGCTTCAAGGATGGAGGGGGGTCGTTTTCCAGATGCAAGTGTCGCCCTAGCGCCTCGCCATATGTGTCTTCAACAGCTGCAAAAGCGTCAAGGATGGAGCGGTTGTTGGTGTTCCCAAATTTGGTGCAAGCCACAGAGCCGCGAACACTCGTCTCCACGAGTTACCAACCGATTCAGGCATGGAAAGGTCGCGTGTGTGTGCCGCATCGCTGATACACCTTGAGTTGATCACGGTCCGCCTCTTCTTATTATCCTATTATCAGTATGACTATTATTATTGTTCCTCCTCCTCCTCCTCCTCCCTCCGCCTCTTTCGCCTCCTCCTCCTCCTCCTCCTCCTCCTCCTCCTCCTCCTCCTCCTCCTCCTCCTCCTCCTCCTCCTCTTACCTCCCGCTTTCCCCCCAATATTCCTCTCCTACTTCTCCTTACCCTCCTCCATTCCCCTCCTCTTCGCGGAGTTCGCCCTCTTCAGCAGTACGCACAGCGCCCTGATGCGGGATTCGCAAGGCACGCACTCAAGGACACTGGGATGCAATCAGCCCACAGCCTGTAGTGGCGAAAGAAGGTGTTGTGCATGTGGTCCATGATCACCTCGCAAAGAAATTCCAACTCCTCTTCCCGCTCACCATCACCCTCCACCCGCTCCTCCCTCCACCTGCTCTTCCTTCTCCCCCGACATCCTCCCATACTGGAAGCAAGAATTCAGACGCCCACTATTGAACTTCGTAGCGTTGGCCCTTCGACCAGACCAATTGGGGAGCATCGGCCACGACTGGTCGTAGGATACCCGACTTCCATCGCCGAACTGTTAATCCAGGGATCACTCATACTGCATCAGGACCTCGACCAGCAGGAGATGGCGGCAGCAGAAGCAGATAAAGCAGCATCGCCAAAGACAACCCTCCTCCCAATCCTTCTCATATGGTGGTCCTGACTCCTTCGGTAGCAAGCAATGGCATCGCGTGGACCCTTCAAAAGTCACCCATGAGGTGAGTCGTTTAGTTACCTGCGAGCTGTGGGACAGGAACGCAATACAAACGGGCAAACTGCACGTCAGAGTACATTGTATGTGTCTTCACCTTGCTCAGGGGATCAAGTGTCGCCACGGGGTCATCGATACACGATGTGGGTGGGTGAATAACGCCACCAGCTGTGTGCATCTGAGGAGGCTGGCCCAAGGCTCACTCAGCCCCATGGAAGCATTCGGGACGCCCCCTGAAGGCACCGTGTCCACTCAGATTTCTTGACGCACCCTGGACGCTTTGGTAAACTCCTGCTCCCTTCAGATTCTCCGGGGGCGGACGCGCAAAGACATGAGGTGGGGGCTCTGAGAACCCTGAACCCCAAAAGGCGTTCGTCTCTTGGGGGCGCACCTTTTACTTCCGCCGGCTTCCACTGGCCTTCCGCCAGCTCCCGCCGGTGCAACCGCCGCCGCCTTACACTTCCGCCAGCTTGCGCCCGACGCCTTCCGCCAGGGAAGAGGCGCCAGCTCCTTCGATCCCTCGGTGTCAAAGTCCTTTCCTGGAGCGCACTGAGCAGGCATGCCCCCAGACGCAGGCGCGCCTGCACGTCGGAGAAGGAGAAGATGGCCACGCTCCAGGGCGGGCGCTCCACGCTGTGCTTGAGTAACAGGTCCTGCCCTCGGGCACCGCTGGCCGCCGCCGCCGCCGTCGCCTTCGACACCGCCGTCGTCGTCGTCGTCGTCGTCGTCGTCGTCGTCGTCGTCGTCGTCGTCGTCGTCGTCGTCGTCGTCGTCGTCGTCGTCGTCGTCGTCGTCGTCCGTCGTCGTCGTCGTCGTCGTTCGTCGTCGTCGTCGTCGTCGTCGTCGTCGTCGTCGTCGTCGTCGTCGTCGTCGTCGTCGTCGTCGTCGTCGTCGTCGTCGTCGTCGTCGTCGTCGTCGTCGTCGTCGTCTTCGTCGTCGTCGTCTTCGTCCTCATCCTCGTCGTCGTCGTCCTCGTCCTTGTCCTCGTCCTCGTCGTCGCCGTCGTCGCGTCATCCATCCTCTCCCTTCCTGGCTGCCCCTCCCCCCTGCTCTTGACGCCCAGCAGCACTGCGTCAGCATAGATACACGATAAGAAATTGTGCTGCAAGAGATCTTCGCACGCACTCTTGATCCATAGCTGAAGGTCCGAAGGTGCCCCGGGGCACCTTCTGGCGGGCTGTCTTCTTACTGGATGTCCCTTCTGTATGGAAGGAGCGAAAGGGCTTTTCTGGCCGCGGCGAGCACCGGCCACAGAGAGGCTACCACACCTAGATCTGAGGAGCGGGCCGATAACTTATTAAACCCTCCCAAGCCCAAAGTGGTCCTTACCTCAGCGTTTTGACTGCAATGGGGCCGCCACCCCTCCTGGCCGCCGACAGCGGCCGTGGATATCGCCCCCCGTCCCCCTCGAGGATCTGATCAGGCCCCGTCCCCCTCGAGGATCTGATCAGGTCCCGTCCCCTTCGAGGATCTGATCAGGCCCCTCGAGGATCTGATCAGGTCCTTACCTCAGCGTTTTGCCTGCCCGGGGCCGACACCCCTCCTGGCCGCCAACAGCGGCCGCGGATATCGCCCCCCGTCCCCCTCGAGGACCTGAGCAGGCCTTGTTCCGGCCCAGGGGGCCAGGCCGGTCGATGGCCCCGAAACGGCCCGAAGATGTTCCATTGTTCTTAGATGACCCCGAATGGCCCCAACGTGGCTCGAATGTAAAACACATGATGGCCCAGGACGGCCCCAAGAGAGCCCACCATAGCAAAGAGCTGGATCTGAGATCTGGAGCGGAAGGAGCGGCCCGAAAACCCGGGGCACCCTGCTGAGCCCAGCGCGGTCCTGATGCGCGAGGGGGCTGCAAGGATTCTCGGGTGCAGCCACGGGGGATCCGCCCCATGCGCTGCGCGCGGCTCCTGCCGGGTCGATCCAGCACGGGATGCCATCCGTGTGGCCTCCTGGGGCCTCCTGGGGCCTCCTGGGGCCTCTGAGTCGTCTTGGGGCCTCCCATGGTTCCTGGAGCTTCCTGAGGCTTCTCGCTGATTCCCGAGGCTGCCTGGGGCCTCGGGGAGCCTCCTGGAATCATCTACGGCATCCTGTGGCCTTCTGGGGCCTGGGAATGCCTCCTGGGGCCTCTCGGGAACTTGTCGCTGTCCTCGCCGCCGTCGTCACCGTCACCGCCGTCGTCGCCGCCATCGCCGTCGTCACAGCCGGCGCCATAGCCGCCGTCACAGTCTGAGTACCCAAAGGCATTCGACGGCTCTCACCGCCGCCGTCGTATCTTCGTTATCGTCGCCCTCGCTGTCGTCGCCCTCGTTGTCGTCGCCATCGTCGTCGTCGTCGTCGTCGTCGTCGTCGTCGTGGTCGTCGTCGTCGTCGCCGTCGTCGTCGTCGTCGTCGCCGTCGCCGTGGCCGTCGCCGTCGCCGTCGCCGTCGCTGTCGCTGTCGCCGTCGCCGTCGCCGTCGCTGTCGTCGTCGCCGTCGTCGTCGCAGTCGTCGCCGACTCTACCGACGTTGTCGTCGTCGTCGTCGCAGCCTCCGTCACCATCATCGCCATCGTCGTTGCTGCCGTCGTCGTCCTCCTCGTCCTCCTCGTCCTTGTCATCATCGTCCTCGTCGTCCTCGTCGTCCTCGTTGTCGTCGTCCTTGCCGTCGTCCTCGCAGTCGTCCTCGCCGGCGTCGCCGTCGTCTCCCTCATCAGTCGCCACGGTCGCCAACGTCGTCGCCGTGTCGCGGCCTTCACCGTTATTGTCGTCGTCGTCGACGTCGTCGACGTTGTCGCGGTTGTCCCTGCGACGCCGTTGTCCCCGTCGTCGCCGCTGCGGGCGATCAGAAATTTGGCCATGAGTAGCTTTCCTCTGCCAGACACGTATCGGGCCTGAGATTCGCGAAGGACTGGAGACTTCTTGGGGGGGGTCTTGGGAACATCGCAGGGGGGGATCCGCTTCCACGGACGCCCGTGTCCATGCATTCCCTCTACTCTGGGGGCCATGCGGCCAGTGGCGCTGAGTCCTTATATACGTGCGGCAGAATGTTAGCCAGCGTGGACCCCGAAAAGGGTGTGTCTATGTGGGCAATCCATGTGGGGGCAATATATGTGGTGAAATCCACGTGAGGCAATCTATGATGTGCCGTATATGTGGTGTGATCTATGCGATGCAATCTATGCGGGGCAATCGATGTGGTGCACTCTATATGGTGCGCTATATACATATATGTATATGTGTGTGCGTGTGCGTATAAATACACACAAGCATCTACATATGCGTAGACATACGTGGTGCAATATATGCGGTGCAACCGATGGGGCGCAACTATATGGTGCAGTCTACGCGGTGCAACCAGCGTGGTACAATGCAAAGCACGCAATGCAAAACGATGCAAAGCGATGCAAGGCAATGCAAATCAACGCAAAGCAATGCAAAGCAATGCAAAGCAATACAAGGCACGACATGGCAGCGCAAAGCAATTCAAAGCAACACGAAGCAATGCAAATAAATGCAGTACAAAACAAGGCATAGCAATGCAAAGCAATGCGAAGCAATTCAGGCCCACACGACGGGCGGCGACGAGGCGGCGGGCGGCGACAGCGACAACATAGCCGCCAGACCGCCACACAGGCCAAGACGACTGGCGGCGACGAGGGGGCAACGGGGCGGCGACGGCGACAACATAGCTGCCAGACCGCCACACCAGCCAAGATGACGGACGGCGACGAGGCGGCGACGGTGCGACGACGGTGACAACACAGCCGCAAGACCGCCACACCATCCAGATTCCGTAGAAAAGAAGAACCCCTCAACAACTCGACGCGGTGCATCACCTTTACCCGCGCAGCATCCAGAAAGGTCATCAGACACCTACAGGATGAGACACCTACAGGATTGTTACGACTCCCGACGAGCACCTGGAAACACACATGTGTCGTGTACCCTTTCGAATTGCGCAGAAAATTAAAACACTATGCTGCGACCGATTGCTAGCGGCACGGAGAAAAGAGAGGGGGGGCAACAGCACAAATGACCCAGATGAGCGCGATGATTCTCAAGATGAAGCTGCGTCCAAAGATGGATAAGGGAGGACAGAAGAAGATGGGAGGAGTGATGGCGGAAGTAGGCAGGCTAACATGCGCAAGGGCATCGGAATGCACATACTCAGGTACTAGCACTGTCACAGCCGATCAAACGAATGTTCGGAGGCCACAGGAAGACCCGATGAAACCACGCGAAGGAGGGAGTAGAACTGATGGGAACATGAGGGAGTGAGGGAGGCGGAAGGGAGGAGGAAGGAAGAGGGAAGAAGGAAACGCTATGAATTGATTACTGACGGGGACGATGTAACGCAAGGGGTCTGAAATCCAGACGGCTGGGGCATCCAGAGATCCATCTTCAGAGGGCGAGCATAGTTTACCTAAGGGTCAGGGCACGCTGGTTGGCGCCAACACGTCCAGTGGCCAGGAGCTCCAGGGAAGCCCAGAATTCTTCTTGTGTTCTCCAAATATGTTTGGACATCCGCTGCCTCTCAGGGGGGCTATCCCCCGACCGCGCGACAAAGACACGACCACACACGTGCACAGCCCGCCTACGAAAAATGAAACGCCCCGCGATGGGAAGAACTCAGTGGCAGCATAAGCAGGCGCACCCAGCACCAGATCGTGCGTCCAATCCAATGTCACACAGACCTGAAGAGGAGGGACAAGGAATTGGGGAGGAGGAGGAGGAAGAAAAGAAGACGAAGAAGGAGAGTGGGCAGCGTGGTTGCCAAAGGCGGCTATCCCGAACATCAGTTGCTTCAAACCCTGGCCCATGCCAGAGGTAAACAAACCATTTGCCACATGATGGAAGCCCAGTGTGTTTATATACTGGCACGCATGGTCAGCACATGCTGATGCCAGCTTACTCTGATGTGCATGTACTCTATAGGCACGCATACCTACACACACATGATCGCATGTATGCTTATGGCTATAGTGATGCCCTGTATGTAAAAGTGTGTCTAGATGTGTGCTTGGTAATGCGTATAGGAGCGTATACATATATACTTCTACGCGTGCATCAACAGCAAGGAAGATTACGAACATCACGAAGGCGGAGTAGGAAGAAGGAGGAAGAGGTGGAAGAGGAGGAGCAGGAGAACGAGGTGCAGGAGGAGGGAGAAAAGATACGAGAACCTCCGCAAACGCAAGGCAGGTGTTCCAGTGTTCGCGCTCGGTGCTCCTCAGAGAGTCCGCAGTCCAGGCGGCCAGGACTCCCAGACATGCCCTTCCAGTGAGAAAACGGGTTCTAAAGAAATAAGCACGTGAGGCCAGTGCCTCCCGCCTTGGCGACGGGGCGCGCCGATTCCGCACGGAAAATCGGCTAATCCGAGCGCCTTGCTCCGTGTCTGCGCTTCCTCGGGTGATGCTCCCACGGCTCCCAGAAGCGCACCAGGAGCCCCCGAAGACCTTCCTCCGACTGCTCTCGACGGCCTCTGAGTCGTCCTGCGGCCGCCTGAACCCTCCTGCGGTCTCCCGGAAGCCCCTGGGGCCTTATCATGACTCATGGGGCCTCCTGGGAACTTACCGCTGTCCTCGCCGCCGTCGTCGCCGTCGTCGCCGCCATCGTCGCTGCCATCGCCGTCGTCACAGTCTTCGCCATAGCCGCCGTCGGTCGGAGTCCCCGAAGGC